AAAATTAAAATCAGTAAGCTCAACTTAGTTTAAGTGAAAAATCTTGTTATCATATAGTTATAACATTTCATGCATTATATTGTATGCGGATACCATCTCCGTAGAAGATAAAATAATTCCATGCTTGTCAATTTCGTATAATAGTATGCAGCACATTCATAAATATAATGAGAAAGAATTTGAATGAAATTTTTATGTTCATCTCATTCGTAGATAAAGAATTGATTACTTGGTTACCTAAACCTGGTTTTTCAATTAAGTTGGAACAAAAATCAAAATAAAATATAATACACTTAAAATTAGTTATATGTTACTATATTGCGTTATTTGTCGCAGCGGTTTTCATTTTTTTCCATTCGTATTTGTGTACGCATGTAAAGGTGTCTGAATGAATCGATGCCTCCAAAGTGCGAGATTAAATCACATATTCTGATACTATACATGTACACTGCCATAAATGACACAACTTTTTTTAAGTTAACTTTAATCATCATATTTTAACAAAGAATTTCAGCAAATGTTTTAAATTCAATTTGAAGAGATTTAATAAATTAACGAATTTTTTACTTGGAGGAAGTGCGATTCAGCTAAACATCTTTAGACCCCTTTGGAATGGTGGAACCGCTATTCCAAATAGCATAACATATTAGCATATTATTATTATTAACTTTTGCTTATATTAACGCATTTGGTTTTCATTTCCGTTTCTATTTATTAACTTTTGCGCAAATTAAATTTTTTATCTTCATTCCTGTATGATGAAGCCACAAACCAAAAATGAAACTATTTTTCGCAAAAATGTCCTTTATTTCTTCGATAAGTAAAACAGTAAAAATAGAATACATTAAATTAAAATGAAGAAAAAGATTTAACTTGGCAAACATGTAGAAACCATTAAGTTTTTTTATTATTATTATTTTAAGCAGGAAACATGAAAAATCATTTGTGGCCTCTCCGGAATTCTAGCTATAAACTTCTAATTTAGTGGCTGGACATGATAATCACTTATATCATGAGAGTGCGTACTAGGAAATGCGATAATTCCTTACATTCTCCCTCAGTTTAAGTTCGGCTAAAGAGAGGCACGAGACTTAATCGACTGAATCCAGGTGGTAGCAAATTATTCTGCACCGTATTTAAGCTGGGACACCATTATAGAGACTACTATAGTGTTTGAAGAAAATGACATATTAATGAAATAATTAATTAATAAGTAGAAAAGTTAAGCAGAAAATATAAATTATGCCTTATCCGGAATTCGAGGCACAGATCTTCCAATTCGTTAAATGGGCGAACTAATCACTTATATTATTACAGCATGGACTAGAGGAAGTTATAATACCTTACAAGGAAGATTAAATATTTAATTGGGTGAAAGTTATTAATAAAATTAAATTTCTTTATCAAAAATGAAATTTCAAGTTCCGAAGGTTCATGAATTTAGCAAGTGCCAATGTTCGATTTCTGTTGGATCCCCCCCCATGTTAGTACGAAACAAACCACCATTGGAAGAATACTTTCCAAATTAAATGCCGTGTAAATAAATGGGAAAAAAATCATTATGAACTCGTTTCCTTCGGTTATGCAATCTCCTTAAAAAGTCCTTTTTATTTTGATAATTTAACTTAATTTTTAGCTCTGAATCCCAATTCCTTCTTCAAGTCTTTACTTGTTAACTTACCCTTTATATATATTTCTTACATATATAATCAATATGCTGAGGGAGGGGGTATAAATTTTAACTTTTTTTTAAATATAAAATAACATTACTTTCTACGGCTTTCCTCCTCTGGCCCAACTTTGGTTATAACTTCGGACTGATGTCACTAGCAAAAGAGAAAGGGGTTCCGTTAGGAAATATGAGCAATGTAAGAATCCTCTTTTATCAAGAGCAATTCAAAAATCTTTCACCTACATGTATTTCGCTTCATAATCCATTATTCATTGTAAATTACTTTGTAAGTATTAACTCAATTAATCTTAATGGTTGCTGAAATCAAGTAATAAGTTTAATGCACGGAGATCAGTAATAAATATGATGATATATAACAGTTATGGCTAAAGATCTAAGGTACATCAACAAAGTACGCCTGGCTAATATATTTTTTTCTGCTGTTGGAATAGCCATTAACATACACCATGGTATTCAGAAATGGAATTATATTTATACTTTGAAGATTAGTACACAGTTTGAAACTGTCTAAAATTTTTATACGCATAACGCAAATAAAAAATTAAAATTATTGAATTTTCGAAATAGTGTAAAGAAGCATGATTTCTGTTTCAAATCATACTTCAGCAAAAGTATGGCTTTTTACATCGCGATCCGTATTCAATTGCTAAAGAGCCCAAACTCATGTGGCTCGGAAGTTTAAAGCAATAGCGCAGGCTGCGACTCGACAGCTACGCAGTCGCAAGCTGCAAACGTGTATTAAACGATCGTGCTTAGCCTACAGCGAAAAATGTGCTTAATATCGTACAATTAATTACGTTGATCTAATATTTGCATTTAAGGAATATCGTAATAAACGAATAAAATTCATTGTTCAAGCGAACGATAATAATTATATTAAATTGTTTAAAAGGTATAAAGCATATATAATGATTATTTAGGTAGATACAAATAGATAACGGATACTCTTTCAATTCACAATATTCCGGTGATTAAAAATTAAGTTTTGATCTCTATCAGATGATTATGGGCAGAAGTAAAACTTAATTTCTAAAACAACACAAGCTATCATAATATTTTATGAAAACAGTGAAACCACCAGGAAACGTCAATTTTCCCCTCTTGCAAATGATGATAGTAATAATAGCACTGTTTTCTAATTGTTTTCCGAAAAGTGGCGAGAAAATGCATTAAATTCATTACTGTCATTCGCAAACAGGAAACCCGACATAGCTAGCTACGTTGGAAAGAGATTTTACTAAATCTGCATCAAAAGCAAAAAATTTGAAATTAAATTTTGTAATTTAAATTTTTGTTTTATTTAATTAATCGAAATGAATAATATGATGATGATGTAGTCCTCAAGCATATCATAAACCACATGTTCTCTGTATCGGGCTTTCGTTGCTTTATGTGCTTTTGTAAAAGCCGAAAACAAAGAAATAATTAATAACACTATTAACCCATTTTTTAACATTGCATTTTCACTTTTGTAAATATGAAACTTAAAATTAAATCTTAATTAGAGTTTTATGTTACTATCTGAAGCTACTGATATAGCTAAATGAGCTTCGAAGCTTTACTAGTTAAAAACCGCTTTCAAGAACTTTTCATATTTGTGCATTGATGGGTATGCATGCTAATAAGTAGACATTATCTGTCACTTACCTCTCAAATAGCTTGAAATGTTTTTACGTCTTAATATACATTCTAGAATTGCACGCCAATGCAAACTGTTTTATTAACAATGATAAATAAGCACAAATGTAGTTTAATAAACTAGCTAGTAATTAGATGGTTAAATTTTCATCGAAATTTTACCATATCAGCTTTTTATAGCTTTTTAAATCGATTTTTTTTTTTTTTTTTTTTTCAGGTTGTTTAAGAAGCTGAAGAAACTCAGCATATATTTTGGAAATTTCTTTAAAACTGAAAATTCTATTTTTAAGAGATAACCGAGAATTCACAGACAAAAAGAAATGGTATGTCTTTTGTACATCCTTCAGCTTCTTCGGGTAACGCATTTTTTATTGATATAAAATGATAATTTTTTTTATGAAATTAATTTTGAAATTTCAGAATTGCTGTTAAAGGAGGCGGAACAAAAACTACAATTCTAGCACCACTGTATTTTTAAAGATAGGCCGATTTGAAAAAAAAAAAAAAAAAAAAAAAACTGTTTAGTTGAAACCCTGAGTACAGTTTTAGAAATCTTTAGAATGATTTAACATAATAAACTCCTTTTTTTTTTAACCTGGGAAGCAATGTTTTTTAGAGAAATGTAGCAACCGCTTAATTTTAAAAGAAACCTGACACAAGGTATTTTAATGCAATTAAAAATGTGTACATTTACAATTGATTTAAAGAAATTTTTCCAAAATCATCTGGTTTTGCAAAACTGAATCTTTAAAACTGTGTTTTCTGAAAACAGTTTAAAATTTTATAACTCAAATATAAAAAAAAAAAAAAAAAAAAAAAAAAAAAAACTGATAAGAAAATATTCCGGTTTAGAGAGAATTTCGAATAGATTCCGCTGTGTTTTCTTATTAAATATGAACCAAAATCAAATTTTATCATTTTAACAGTTTTTCGTTTAAATTGCGTTTTTTAATTGTATCAGATGTCTTATAGCATCCTCGGCATACATTTCATAAATTAAGCTTTTAATAATAATAATAATTATAATAGAAGAACATAAATTAATAAAACTTTCAAAGATATTCTACAAAACGACGTTACAAATAAAAATATTAATATAGCTGTTGCAATCGGAAGCATGTTATGAATTTCAAATTATGTTTATTTTTAAAAATTTATTAAAAAATCGAAACTTACCGAGTTGTTTTTACATGATAAAATATCACCTATTTCCTATTTTCTGTCCACCGCACATCTCATTGTCCATTCTACTCATGATGCATATAACTTACGCTCGATTATGAAGGGCATATTCCTTCTTTCCCCCGGACCAGATTCCCCCATGACGAAATTATGACCCCCATTTACCCCCTTGTCCTGAATCCAGACCACAGAAGTAAAAAAAACACGACATTCCACTCCAACTGTCATGTGATCTCTGTCCGGTAGCGCCACCTATTGGAAACCGGGAAAAAAAAAAGTTGTAAGAAATTTTTATCTAAGATTGTCACTAGAGGACACTGCTATCGCACATCAATCAAAGCGACCCAGGCGGTCCACCATTGGCTGATGGGAACCGCCTCTTTCCCCGGCAGGGGATCACCTGCAATTAGCGCCGGCTCAATGGGCGGTACCCACTGGGTGCCGCCCCCTTCTGCCACTTATTGGCCTGCCGTTTGGGGCCGGCCAGATCTCTAACCACAGCTATTGAGCCAGGTTTGTGTGGCTGCCCGCTCCGCAGTCTCTTCCCAAAACTGTGTCGGATTGCAGTGCATGCTGATCGTTTGCAAAGAGTAATTTGCCGTGTTCCAGCCTTCTTACATTCGTATTCCGTGACTCGCTACAACAAAAGAAGGCTGCGTATTCTGACTTTTTTTTTCGTTTTTCTTTTGTGTGTGTGTTCCGTTACTGAGGACCTTTTCATCCACGGGGTGTACCTGTGTCAGCGACAAAAAATTTTTACTCTATTTTATAATTTTTTCTCCGTCTTTTATATATCGCTCCTTTCATCGGTCTTTGTTCGCTGTTCTCCACAAATCAAAGGAAACTGTATACTTTTTCCTACATGGCTAGCGCCACTATTGGGGTAAGTGCTCATTTTGTCATCTTCATAAATAACGCCGCTTTAGCTCACTTCTTGCGTTCTTTGTTTACTTTTTTTCCCTCAATTTTCTTGTCTTTTTTTTTTTTTTTTTTTTTTTTCATTTCTATTTAAGACACTTTGAAAGGGAATCGTTATTTAAAAGCTGATGCGACTTAACTTATTGCAGACAAAAATTTTTATCATTATTTTAGATAAAAGTACTTTTATCATTTGTCAATCAAAGAATTGTTTCAAACACAATAAAGCGAAGCGACGTCAACCATGTTTTAACTTTATCTGAACATCTGAAAGTTTAGAACTGAAATTTTTAAAATCTAACCTTAAACTGGTTATTTTTGTTAACTAAATGGATACTTAAAGAATTAACTTAAAATTTTAGTTCTTTCTATTTTCTAAATGCATTCTCATTTGCATGAGAGCAAATTTATTATGCATATGACATACATTTTTTTTGAGGGGAGGAGGGAATCTATAACATGATCGAGTATATCTTGATGTATTAAAGTTATGTAAAAAACTAATATAAGTATATGAGTTTATTATGGTCCTGAAAAGTTGACATTCGGAAGTTAATCACACGTCTAGCTTCTGCAAATAATAAATTGTCGAACGTTTCATAACATACAAGGATTCAAGGTATATTTTCTTTTTTTTTTTTTTTTTTTTTTTTTTTTTTTTTTTTTTTTTTTTTTTTTCTTTTACTTTGAGTAGATTTATTAATATACAATAGTCGGATATATACAATATATTAATTTGAAATATATTGCACAAGTGATAACAAATTTATGAACTCTATGGAGAAACCTAAAAGAAGGAAACAAGAATGTGTTGTATTTATTTGACTTCTTGAACACAGAGCTTTTTTCCTCAAGTATTTTTTTTAATCGAAACATATGATGAAAAAGAATGTTTCTTTTAATTTTTTTTACTGAGCATTTCTAATTTTAAATCTATTGTTCTTTCACAGTTCATCTCATACATTTAAATTTTTAACGTATCTTCATACTTTTCCTCAATTTTCAAACGATATATTTCAGGTAGTTGCATAGCATTTTATAGACAAAAATTATTTTTGTGAGTTGTGTTCAAAAACAAAATGTGTTATTAAAATAAAATGAATAAGACCGACTTGATCATAATTCACAAATCTAAGGTTATATTAAAAATTTGACAGTAATGATGAAAACAATGTGTTAAAATAAATACTTACCTTGAATATATAAAAATAGCCATTTTTTTTAAAGAATATACTTCGCAATTGTTTTTCAGAATGGAATCGTAGAAATAAGTTCTTCATGAGTCATTTGTATGTTCTTTTGATAAATGCTACGCTAATTATATTAAATAGATTTATCTCGTATTTATAACAACGAACCTTTAAGTTTCGCGATAATGATCATTGAATGTGTTTCAGCTTAAATATAAAAATATTAATTTCTCAAAATTTTAAAATTTCTTTAAATATGAGAAATTTAAAGTTACTTCTAGATTGAAGTTGCATCTACAGCTATAATATTTACTGTTAAAATGTTTTGCTTATAAAGCATTCATCGCTACTTATAGTATTATTAACACCATTATATTTTATTATTATAAATTTTAAATATAAGACTAACGTTTTATCTTCATCATAAAGTCCTTTCTTGCCTTTCATATACTGATGTCAATGCACTGACATTAATTGTAAAATTATATTAGGACTACAATATTAACATGCTTTTATTGACATAGATTTTTATATTTCCCATTAAAATTCTTATAACGGATACATATAAATATGATTCGAGTATGATTTTGTTTATGTCTTTATTAATATTATTATTATTTGAACAACAAAATAAATAACATTAGCATTTTATGATATGCATCATTCATGTGCACTGCCTTTATAATACGGCAATGAAAATTATATATCTATATTCACGAAATACCATTTCAAAAGCATGTCTGAAAATTATTTTAATTCTAGCCGTAAGTTCTGAATTTTTTACTTTTTGTGATTTACACTAATAATAATAATAATGTAAGGCACTTCAAATTATTTGGAAAAAAATAGCTGAATTCGGTACAATTCAGTTTGCATACATTGACAGAAAAGTAATATTTCGATTAGTTCTTGTTAAAATGTATTGACTTAGCTTTTAAATGTAATTATTTTAGTAATTTTCCATTTCTTTTGCAAAAGAGAAATTTTTTTTAACTAAATTGAGTATCAGATTCACAAGATGGAAAACTAAATTAATAAAAAATAAATAAAATCCCAATTAAGCATTGTGCTTATTGGAATTAGAGACTAAGCAAAGTAGTATTATGCATAAATGTATTTGCAAGGTCTGTAAACATTTAAAAAAAGGTAATCTACCAAAGATAGGCAAAAGTTAATGTCTTTACCGTTGCTTATTTTATTTTTAAAGCGAAGCGAAATTTTTGTTTTTGTAATAGTAAATATAAATAGTTATAGTTGCAAATGTCAAAAATAATTCTGATTTCTGTTAAAAAAATATATCTGCTATTCTCAATTTTATAATTATAAGAAAAAAAAGTTTTGGGATCTTTATATTAATATAAAGAAGATACATTATTTTTTATACATACATAACTATTAGACAGATAGAGATTAAACGATACATAGTCATTAGATAGGTATCACACTAATTTATATGCATTTTCTTTTTAATGTAATTTGGAAGGCTCTATATCTGTTGTTAAATACTTTAGATACGGCTATCTATATGATGTTAATGAATTAAAATAATTGATTACATATGCGGGATTCCATTTAACAGTTAATTTGCTCAAAAGCACGAAAATTAATCAATTATAAGTACAATTAAAATTTTTAAATTCTAAAAACATTCTCAAGAAACTTAAAATAAATCAAAAATAACTTAAAGTGACAGAGTAATTAAATGAAACTATTCACTTATTTAAGGTTTAAAATTTAAGGGACTTGTCGATTAATTATATTGTCACTTTAAGTTATTTTTTATTTATGTTAAGTATCTTGAGGATGTTTAAAAATTATTATTTTATTTATTTATTTATTTATTTTTGCTGTTTTTTACTATGTGCTTTTAATGTATATATAAGAAGATTTTACAGTCTTTAGAACAAAATTTTATAGGCGACATCAAGAAATAACACTAACATAAGGAGCTCAATATTGTTAAACAAACCAAATCATTAAATGCTCATAAACTAACCTCAAATCTTTATAATGAGATATTTTTTGAGCAGCTTTTAAAGCAAGTCTTGTGTCTAGAAGTATGATGTGTAAAACTGCATGTTTTTGTACATGTACACAAAATATATATCAGGTGTCGTCTTAAATCTGAAACATACTTTCTCCATAAAGTATCATTATTTGGAAAGTATATGTTATAGACGTAGAAATAAGTGGAGAAATATGTCTAAATAAGGAATAGTAAAGATGCTAGTTATTTAAGGTAATAACAATGCAAAATCCTGTATGTATGCATATGACTGTATTGGCACAAGTTTTAACGAAATATGCTCATGTTACTTGCATTGTGCTTTTTTATGTATTAGCCACAATTAAAATAATGTATTCTTCAACAAAAAATAAAATTTCACAAATTATTTTTTAAAACACATACATTTTTTCTTCAGTTACCTTTACATTTTAACTTTGAAGAGAAAAGCTTTAAATTTGAATACGCAAGTACACAAAGTAGAATTAGTTTCAGTATGAGTCTAATTGTTGATGATTTATATTGTACATATAATCAATAAACAGGAGAAGGAGGGGAAATAAGCTAATTTACCTTAGTATTTGTTAAATATTTTGCTCCTACGTCAATGAAAATATCCTGTAACACATATGACAAAAATTATCTCAGAATTAACTAATGTTTGTTTTTGTCAGCTAAATACTTTTAAATAACGAATTTAAAACAAAATAAATTTAGAAATATAAGTGAGCTTCTGAATTTAGCTTCAACAGAATATATAACAAGTTTTTATATAGGTGTATGTGTGTACATGTTCCTTTTCATCCCCTCCCTCAAATCACTAGAGTAAATCATTCAAAAATTTATGTTTGAGATGGATAGAAATATTTTGATTATTAATTTATTATGATATTAAAACTTCAGGGTTAATTTCATAGTTATCGTCTTTATCTCTTGAGGGAGGGGAACTGCCTACATTAGCTATTTTTAAATCATTAAAATTTGCTCTAATTCTTTAAATAGCTGATGCCACAGGTATTTCCTAGGTATTTTGGTTACTGCACTACTTCAAAATGTTTGAAAAGATAACACTATAATTTATTCTAATCTTTCTTTCTTTAATGGCTAATTTCGACAAGGCAATCGCTTACCCTACTTTATTTAAAAATATACTTTTAATTTGTTGGGTATTTCAAAAGTTTGAATACAGCCTGAGTAGTTGAAATGAAAGCATACATCTGTGAAAATTTCATCGTAATCTAATTACATAATACAACACTTTGTTTAAGTTTTAATTAGCTAATATTTTTACATATTTCAAGCAAAAATCAAACTGAATTATTATGATTTATTTAAATGCTTTCACTTTCAACAAATTTCAGAGAATTTTATTAATGGTAAATGAGGCAAACTCGTAACTATATGTCATACTTTTGCATATAATTATAATTTTTATGACGCAGTTTTGCTCAATTTTTAATATTTCAGCATTTAGTAAATTTGAAGATAATAAAAAAAACATAACTCAAACCGGGAACTTCTGAAATCATAATACAAATTTACTCAAAAAATCATTGTAAGAAATGGATTTATTTATAATTTATTAAAAATTTATAAACTTTAAAAGGGGAAAGAAATCGAAACATCCATTTTGTATCTTATTTCTCTTTGAATTTTTGTCTAAGAATTCTAGCACTATCATTTATTTATCGTGCTTTTATTTGCGAGTCAATAAATGTATAAAAAATTTAAAATTATTAATTATAAATTAAAAAATTTTCTCCATCTTCA